TAAAAGAAGGTGTAAGTCTATAGAGTAAAGTGCTGAGTGCATGATAAAAATTAGTAGCGATTTCTAGAGTGAGTTACTTCAGATTGAGAGGATAGTAAGAGTCATTTCACTAGAGGGTTCATTTATTCATGAGATTGTCTCTATAAGTTTTACTTTCACAAATCGCTTGTTCGACATCTCGTGATAAGAAAGAAAAAAATATTTCCAATACTTTGATTACATTTTTCTCATTAATATTAATAAGAATATATTTTTCTATTCATTGGTACCAGTGCAGAAAAACTTAAATTTAAACAGTTTAATCTCTTTTTACAGTTCAATGATTGGACAACAATAAACCTGACCAAGTGAAAATAATAATTCATTTTAGTGTCACAAGCATAATATGAAGGAGCTTTTTAGTTATTAAATAGAAATTTTAATAAACAACATTAATTTTAAAATTATAATTTTATTATGATTTAAAAAATGATTAAATACATAAAATAAATATATCGAATTAGGCATTTATTGCAAATTGTTTAACTATAAATATAATTATTTTTGATACAAGCTCCATTCTTATTTGTTATTATTTTAAAGAGTATATCAATTCAAACTCAAAAAAAAAAGAAATTATCATATTTTTAAATAACAATTAAATGGCACTTTGTATTATTGTGCTGTAAAATAACTGCATTTCCGGTAATCCTGCAGTCATATTTATTCTACTTTTTCCTAGTTAATTAGTTCATAATATGCAACTTTATGACATTTAATTTATCAAATGAATATATATTCAGCAAACATTAACTTGTGATACTGCATTTGAATTAAAAAATGAAAATGTTTAGTTGAGGACTAAAAAATTCAAGCTATGAATTTCCTTGAACACACATCTTAAGCTCATCTGAATTAATTTCACTTTTTGAAATGAAAATTCTCGAACTTTTTACATTCAAGTTATTTAATTATTTTTTTAATTAATTTAATTACTTTCTTAGAATTTTTTCATTATTTGTTGATATAATATTAACTAACATGATATAATCAAATTTATCGAGTATAAATCCAACATTGGATATCCAACTCAAACAAGATAGTAAAGTAGTTTTCGTTCTATAAATGTTCATGGTACCTGATAAAAAGTATATTTATTATAGTAATTACAGTATATAAGTTTTATTACGACACCAAAAAAAAGAGAAATATAGAATTTCAACAAACCAACAGTTAACTAAAAATATCAACACTTTCTATGAGTTCAATTTCATCAAGATTTTTTAACTATTTCAATTTTTTTCTTTTGTTACCGAAACTTTTGATCCAAAAATTTAATTTACCGTGTTTTGGAAGTTATTATTTATTTATTTATTTTTTTGTAAACTGGTTAATTTATGTGTCATACAATAAAATTTATTTGACATAAATTCAATTTATACCAATAGGTAAAATAGAAAAAGTAGAGTAACTATATTTTTATAGAGATAGATTTAAAAAGAGTATAGTGGTGGTCTATGTCATAAATCCTTCTACTCGATTCCCTCACACATCTAAGGCAGAAAGGTTGAGCATCACGACAGTGTTTTATCGACCAAATGGTTTCTTTTTAATCGAAAAGATCGACCCTTGGTCTGGACCTTTTGTTAAGTATCATTTAGAAGCTTTTTCAAGTGTCATGAAGAGTAACAAATACCTTTTTAATGAAAAAGACAAATAGTTTTTTATTGTTGCTGTTGTTTTGACATATATTCAATTAAATATGTTATACCAAACATTTGAAGACTATTAATTACGTATAATAATTTGACATAAAATAATAGGAATCTAATGTAACACTAATAATACATAAGAGTAATTTTAACATACTTGTATAATAAATTAAAGTTTCAAGAGGTGTGTCATGACAAACAGGGTAGCAAATTATTGCTGAAAGCTTCACTGCGATGTCTCTCTAAGTATCCTGTGAAAACAAATAGGTAGCTTCTTAATTATAAGAAGATATCTCTTGATAATTAGTATGCGTCGAGAGGAGAGAAGCATAGTTTGCATTTTCTATTCATTTTACGGTTGCATGGGGAATCCACTCTTTAGAAAATTTCGTTTAATTAGGGAAAATGAAATAATAAACTTTATCAATTTCTATTCATAACTGTTACTTTTTTTTTATAGAAATAAAAAGTTGATTACAGCAATGGTATATATTATTATTATTATTTCACATATGTGGGCATCCTTTTTTTGTCTAATTAAAAATATTTATTGGAATTTCTTTCTTAACCAGTGAACAGGAAATCTTTTTTACTTATTGATTGATTCCAATTAAAACAATTTTTGATTGATAAATAATTTACATATTGGAATAATGAATTGTTCGTTCAGAAAGAATATATAACTGGTTACAAAGGCAATTGAATGGTTACATTTTTATAATTTTAAACAAACAAGTTTTTCAAATAATAGATTGGTTTAAGTTCATTGTACTCAGTGGGTGGAGGTGTTTTGTTCATTGGATATACAGTAAGTTCTCCGCAGCGATTTAACAATTTTTTTTTCAACTAAAAAATTTTTTATCGGATTCCCTGTGTGAAAGAGATTATATTAATTTCTATAGAAAGTTTATGCAAGTCTACCAAAAAATATTCAATTTCTAATATTCATGAACGGATGATAAAATTAATTATATTGCAAATTAAAGGTCTTTGAAACACTCATGTATTTATTTTAAACCGTACATGGTACAGTTAGGAAGATATCTCTCGTAGGAGCAAAGGTTTCACACTGAAAAAATGGTTGAGTAAGAATTACCATAAAAGCTTGAGTGAACCAAGGGCGAATAATGAGTTGTGATAAAAACAACCTAAATGCTTTGGTAAAAACTATTTTAGTCTCGATTAGTTTTTGCCATAGCTTATAACTTGTCTTGGTTTTACTCAAAGTGCAACGATACTTTCAACTCAAAAATTTGTCAGTCTGGACCATTTCTAATCTAATATGAGTCAACCTTGATCCAATTTTGGGCTAGAAATGGACCAATCCTTGTTCCTGGAGGGATGTAATGGTATAAGATTTTAAAGTCAAAAATTTTTATCTTTCATTTTAAAAGTTTTTGAGGTTTTTTTTTTTATTATTGTGAACAGTAAAGTAATTTGTTAATATTTTTTTTGAAAGCATTATTGATCAAGAAACTAGAAAGAGTAGGCGAAAGAACTGCTAAATCACAGCAAATATTTAGAGAAATCAATCATCACTCATGATTCAATCGATTTCGATAAAATATAACGATTACAAGAAATAAGTGAAAAGTAATAAACTTTCGAATGAAGTACATTTCAACGTAGTCGGAGTTCGTTTATAATTGTCGCCATAAATCTAACAATGCGGTTTAACATTAATCCACCACGACTGACCAGTATACACTTCCGACGGCACGCGATTGCCTCGATTCCATATATCCAGGTATGGATATCGATAAACCACGCCAACCAGTTCGTTCATATACTCTAGATATTATTTATCCTAATTTGATATATCACCTTCAATATCCGTTCGATCTCTATTTTCGAGCTTTTTTTAAATGTTTATTGTGATTCAAAGTACATGAAAAATTCAAACAATCAATTATTGTTAAAAAGTATCAAAGTGGTAGATTATAAATACGGTTTTTTTTAATTAAAAATTTATTTTTGGTGTAAATAACGCGTTGTTGAGTAAAGTGGAATTTATTTTTGATAAAAAAAGCTTTTATTCATTCTCTCGAGCTTACTCAAACGTTAAATTTATTGATATTATTTCATAAATACAATATTTTCAAGAATTAAAATTAATTTGACCGTTTATTTTTGAAGATATATAAAATTTAGCGAAATAATAATGAAAAATTTAAATTCATCAATTTGAATGGATCATTGAATCATTCGCACTTTAAATCTTTTTCTTTACTAAATAGAGTCTACTAAATTTTCTTTAGATTTAATTATTTAAAAAATTAAATATTTAGATTGAATATTCGGTTTCCAAAAGCAAAAAAAAAAATAATTTAAAATATTTTAAAACTGTGAAATAAGTATTCTGTTAACACCGTGTTCAATTAAAGGATTTACGAGATTTAAACACGGGAGTAGTTTCTTAGAGAGTATTAAGACTTGTTAAAGCTCCTGCAAGTTTTATAAGACGACTCATCAAACTTGAAATTGAAGAATTATAACATAAAAAATCAATTTTACAAATACACTTTGACTCTAAAAATATACATTCAATTTATTCATCTTAGTTTTGTTGAGTAATCGAATTACTTACATACAACGAATACGTTAATTATATCCGTTCAGATGTCTCCTTTTATTGTCCTATGTCTTCATTTATGAAGTAAGGTTCGTTAAGCATAAATTTAATTACCAAAATTTCAGTTCTATCTCGTGTTTATGAATTTTCTGTGATTTAAACAATACTACACTCACAGAAAAATTGAGTAAAAATTCCCTTACGATTCATGAGAAGCATGATACACAAATAGGGTCAAATTAACGTTTTAAAATAGTAAAATTGGCCCTTTTATTTTGTAAAAATTCTTCTCTTGCAAGGTAAATTCTAGTTGGTCTGTGCAGTGTACCATAGTCACTCTAAACTCTATGCATAGTCGTATTAACTCAGTCCTTCTCTCCATTTACGAGTGAAAGAAAGATGTTAAAAAATAATTATATAGAAAAAGAGTTGAATAAAAAATATATATATGCAAATCAATGTAATTTATAAATTTTTGCAACCACTGATGTGAAAAATTGTCATTTCTCATGACATGAATATCTAAAATGAATCTATTTTCGTGTGATAACAGATTGCTTTCGAGCACTTTCGAAAAATACCATCTGATTGGTATGATTTGAAACGAAAATTCACAACGCATTGAAATATCATATTGCTTATTATTTTTTTTGTAATAAATATCATTGATATTCGTATTTGAAATACATATTTATGAAGTTAACACATTTTATCGTTATCTCTTTATTTTTTTCCAGAGCCATGACAGCTGGCAAGGACATGATGGCGATCAGGTAAGCTAAGAGCATTTATATATGTCAATGTAAATGATTTTTATTCCTATATTGCATGAAGCTTCAATTTATGCAAAGTATAATTGTGCTATACATGCTTCTTCAATAACACTTCGATTTCATTTAATCTCTTTTAGCTTTGGGTAACTTATTGTAACATTGCTTTCAATATTCTGAGTTTTAAAGTTAAATAAAGTTTAAAATATTTGTTTAGATGATGAAATGAACGGAATATTTTTACTTATCATCCAGAAAATTCTTCACATAAAATTATTGACTTTTTTTACTTGGTTTGCCATCAATTATATTCTATCTCTTTAATGAAAAGAGTATTGTTCATTTCAAATTAATTTTTTTTTTTAATATTTTTATTATACATACAATTAATATTAAATAACAATAGTCTATGCCAATGGCATAAAATGATAATAATTAATGCTAAAGAACATTTAATTATGTGAACTAATTATTTAACCATTTCTATTTTTTCAAGTGAATAAAAAATAAGTTAAAATAATCAAATAATTATTCAGACCGTAAATGAGTGATCTATATTTTTATTGTTAAAAGGGTAGTAGTGGTTTAAAAATTTATCACAGATTCAAAGGAATTCGGAACGATTTTTAACTGTATTAATAATTATTTTTTAATGCTATAATGATCATTACAAAAAATAAATGAATAATAATTGAAACAAATATTATTACCACAATTGAGATAGAAATTGATTGAAATCCGACTAGACAAGTAATAAATGTTGATATCGTTTTTACACCCTCACAGATATATCTTGAATATTTAGTTGCAAGAAAAGTTCAAAACTATTTACAAGATATTCAATGTTGGATGATTCCTAAATCACAAAGTTTCTTAACCAATTTTGGCGTAAACTGTTGATCCAATCCAACTTAAAACGATTTTGACATATCCGAAAACTAAAATTTAAAATTCAAACAAGATCTGCCTGAGGGATATCACTTGAAATCTTTTCAGACGATAGAATCGTGAAGAGGAGAAACTTTTATCAGTTTTCTTTAGTGATACTCAGAGATCGTTGTATATAGCGAAAAGAACATATGTCTTATAACCAATGTTTCTCTTTTCGATTGCATAAAAATAAAATTTCTCATATTCTCAATATTTCTTTAAACGCATCACCCTCAAGTGACTCTAAACCTTAAGCATCTTTTTATCAGACTATACCACTTTGTTATAACATCTTCAATATTAGATATACCAATAGTTTAGTGCTACACAAAGAATATAACTCGAAATTTTGTATTATTTAAGTCAAAAATTAAAAATAAATTCCAAAAGAAAGAATTACAAATAAAAAAAAAAATAAGAATATTCATCTTTATTATCTTCCTCTTCTAGAGCTTTGAATTTAAGAAGGAAACTTTCTTTACATCTTTTGGTATATTAATCTAATTCATCATTGTCTGGGGGAAATATTCTTCAAGCTTTGCTAACAGTAATGAGTAAATTGGTTCTCTTCAAAAATTAAAAAAACCTGCTAGTTATTTTATTTATTTAAGATTATTTAAATTACCAGGATCATGTGGAATATAAAACTGATGGAGAACACATAAGATTGAAATCAGCATCGAAAACTAGATTAAAATTGTATCGACAACATCATCATCAAATTGGACCACCTGAAAAACGAAAGAGCTGAATACTAAACTACATTCACGAAACAAACAAGTGCAATTAATTTTGGCATATTAATAAAACTTCAGCATTATCAACTTTTGTTATAATGATTTCACGTTTTCTAACCCTATCGGTGTTCCTTCAATCCACTTGCATAAATTGATTTATAGGGTAGACCGTTGACAAGCAAATTTATCAAACGATTGAGTACATGTCGAAACATTGAATGCACATGAAAGAATGAGAGTACTGGTGAAGAGAATACAATTTATTGAAAAACTAGTGTATTCAATATATTGTGTCCCATAAAAAAAAAATTGTTAAAAACTTTCTGGTGAAATTTTACGTACTTCAAAGAAAATAATTTTTCACCAGAAACGAGGTCTTCGTTATTTCAGGAAAAAAATATTCATAGTTCAATTGAAGAATATTTATGTCACATCATGTGAATGTAATTTTTTAACTTTTTTACAACATCAAAGTATTATGAAAACCATTGTATTCAAATATTTTTTAAAAAAATTTCGAGTATACATTAAAAATAGAAAACCAAATAATGAGCAAAATAATGAATCTTCATTTCGTTTCATAAAAATTGAAGTAAAACAGTTAATATCATTTTTATATTTAATCGTATCGTATAAATGACTTAATAACTTTGTTATCTATCCTAGCACATCAGTGTCAATATTATTAACTTCTTTTTATGTCATTACAAATAATTGTTATCGATTCGAAAAAAAAAATTTTTTTCTATTTGCTTCAAAAAGTTGAGGTCACCACATTTATTCAGCAATGACATTTTTTTATGACTAAAATTGAAGTTAAATAATAAAAAGAAAAGATGTTTTATATAAACCTGTTCTCCTTAACATCTAATTATAAAATTCAGCAAAAGTGAGAATACAACAAAAGTGATATGAGAAGAATTGTTTGTTTCTAAGAAGACGAGCACATATAAAGAACTGCATATGAATAGTACACTTATGAATATTCATATTCATCGTACGTAAATCTTTTGTTATTTCATCCTCTTTTCATTCACATTTGTCAGTTTATATCATATTTTTTTTTTACGTTTTACGTAATAAATAAAATTTTTAGGTCATAACTCCAATCTAATCTAAATGAAAACATGAGTAAAATCATAGAAAATTTTATAACATACATCAACATTTTACAAGCACACATAATAAAGATAACATATCCGTATAATCCATTGAAAAGAAAAGAAAAAAAAAACACTTAAAAATACATTAAACCAAAAAAATTTGATGTTCCACAAAACAAAAAAATATTTCAGAAAATATTATTTTGTAACATGGGAAAAAATGCAACTATTCAATCAGAAATAAAATGCCAATTAAATTCAATTTAATATGAGAATTCCAATTAAAAGCAACATAAAAATATGAAACTAAAAACTCATATCAATAGGACATACAGTACTTCTAGAACTCGTTTAGTTTTAATATAAGTCTTTCTCACAGTCATAAGCCAGCCACCTTTTCCCTGACAGGTTAAACGCGTTTCTTGCACCTGACTAATATTTGTAGGTAAGTTAGTATTATTTCGAGATTACCAACATGATCGTAACACTTCGGTAGATGTCGACAATGTTCGCTAAGTTTGCCGTGCGGTCAGGCTAAACGTGCCTGCCGGCTTGTTGGTGACGTCAACGGTGACAGCGTCCAGAGTCGCGACCTGTAAGAAAGTCAGGCAATACCATAGTTGAATTAAACTTTATTCTCTGCCGCATAATTCACCAATTAATAGCACTGAGAATAATTGTTAATCAATTGGCGTGTGTTAATGTCACTGAGTTGAATAAAAACCAAACATTTTGACATTTATAGAAAGATAAGAGTGAAGTTAATGAACCGGCTCGTAGTATTCCGTGGATTTAGACAAATATTTCCAACTGTCTCAAGTGCTCCGTGATTCCAGTTATGGCGTCTTTGGTATTCCAAGTTTCGGAGTAGGGATTAATATGAGTGAACGAGTAAGGAAGAGAATTGTGTGCAACCTGTTTACGCGAGACGCCGTGAACCGTGTCCTCGTATATTTTAGCCGACTAAATATCACACTAAATTCCATAGATTTATCAACAAAAAACTGTCGAAGTAGTCAAAAATAACTACTCAGAAATAACGCAAGACGTTAAGTAGTACGCCTCGGGTATATGGTAGATGCAACAGGCTGTATGGAATGCAATATCTGAATGGTTGACAGTGATTTTCGTCGTTCAAATCCAGTGTCATTGAACGTCCAGCTCAAGGTTTTAATAAGAAAAATCTAACTCAAGCAATTATGCACTGTATTGTGTTCATTAATAAAATAAGAACCCAAGTGAAAAAAATTCAACGTTGATTAATAGTTGAAATAATTAGTAAAAATTAACTGAAATAAATGACTAGAGAATTTTAATTATTATTGAGTGAAATAAAAGATTTTTAAATCAATTTTTAAGTGGCATTTTTATGAGTATTTTTATCAGACTTTTAAATCTAAATAAAGTGAAAAAGTGCATTAGTTAAATTTTTTTATATCTATAACTGTTGATGAAAAGTGATTTTTACGTATACACCTGTGGTATAAATTGATATTAAAGCGATTGATATTGAAGGTTGAACGAAAAAAAAAATATATAAATTGACTACATAGTATTTACCGCCCGCCCTGACCCTCGGTTACGGTGCTTGATTTTCCAGCAGTCCCCTCTTTCAAACTCGTCCTTCCGATTCTCGTTCTCATTCTTTCTCTCTTCCGTTTTTACCTCTTGCTTTTGCTCTTTTATCTCTGTCTCATAATAACGTCGACGTGTAGTGAGAGTAACACCCACCTGCAAACTGATGCACCAGGGACATTAGGACAACGACTACCGAGACGACATGTACATTAAGTGGGAATTTTTTATAATGTATTATGTATATTTTGGGTTACAAAAGTCATCTTATTGAAACTAAGACTCTTTCTCATTCACACTTTTACTTTTATTCATACTCGAATGGTATAATCGTATATACTTGGAATTCCATTGAATCACCATTTTTGATGTGTTAGAAAGTATTCCATCATTTTTGGGGGAAACAAAAATAAACCAACACCTATTTTTATTTCAATATTCAATAGCTTACTAAAAAAGTTGAATTATTTATTCCCACAGTGGCTAAAAAGTGATAGAATATATAAAAGTGGAATATTGTAGTGAAATATTCTTTAAAATGTGCTTCAATGCCGTTTAAATATTACTCTGGATTATAACTTACACTTGGATTATTCTTATTGGAATTGCAAAACTCACAAGAAAAGAAATGGCAACGAAAAAGAAGAAGAAGCAACAA